GAGAGAGAGAGAGAGAGAGAGAGAGAGAGAGAGAGAGAGAGAGAGAGAGAGAGAGAGCGCGCGCGAGAGAGAGAGAGCGCGAGAGAGAGAGAGAGCTGGAGGGTGAGAGAGGAAGGGAGGAAGAAAGAGGGGCAAGGGATGGAGAGGAAGGGAGGAAGAAAGAGGGGCAAGGGATGGAGAGGAAGAAAGAGTTGAAGATATGACCGAGGCGTTGTTAGATAATTATAAGGGGGAAGCATTTATGATGATTTGACAGTAGGACGGCAAATCTGCAACATACACACGACCCTACTTGCACAACGCTCTATTCACGGCGCCTGTTGTCTTTGTGCAATTAAGCGTGAAATGACTGACTGTGATATTTTTCGTGCGACTGAATAAATAATAGGTTTTATATGTCTAGATCGAATTACCCGCGGCATACTTTCATTATTGAGAATTAAAATAGGAAATAAATTGCCTAAACTATGTCGGTTTCCGCCTGAAATGAAAGTGGATTATCTAATGAGTGTGCAGCTGTGATAAGCATGCCCTGGTTTATCATTACCATGACAACCCAAACAGCACACTCACGCGTGCATCTTCGTTGAATATTGAATATTGAGTTAGCATAGATGATCTTGTTTAGTATACTAATATAGATCTAACATGAATATTGAGCGTCATTTAAACCCCGTGCAGACTACTGGTATGAATGTACCAGAGATAGAGAGTTGTTAATGATGCACAAGTGGTGTCAGGTACAGGTACAGACGGGTATACTGTCCATACCAGCAAACATTTTTAGACTAGTGTACAAAGCAAGTTGCTATGGTCTTTCTGTTTCATGCATTCATATGTTAGTAATGATCGAAAGGTAAACAAAAAGATAGATTCCCTCGAATATAAACCACTAGAACCTATTTTGGGCTTTTGATCTTATCTCCAGTCGCACTCTATAACCAGTACTACCAAAAATACACCAGACGCAGTGTTTACCGCAGTGACGTAGACCTACATGCAGTAGAGGTATATATCTTTGTTACTAGACATGTGGTTAAGCACATCAGTGGAGCATCATGCGATACTTTACCGTCTCGAATGGAAATGCATAGCGATAGGCTAAGAAACGGTCGAAGCATTGATTTTCGTGACCTTCCATTCTAAATAACGACCAATTCATTCTTCGTGATTAAGGGTTACACGTATGCATTATCCTCATTATAGTAACGCAACGGAAGACGGTTCATCGTTTGCCAAGTGCGTAAATAATTGAGCGAAGAGCTCTGAATAGGGTTTCAGTTTCCCCCAACGCCTATTCATTATCCCCTCGTTTATAGTCATGTTTCGCGTTGCTGCTGCCATGGTAACAGTTTTCATGTGCAGTACGTAGATGAAACAAAGAGGTTAAATTTTTCTACAGTGGTTCAATGTTTTATATATAACGTTGTGTCGGGAAATTAGCCTTATATATCCACAGTAGTGTGTTTATAGTAATTGTCGTAATTAACTTCAGCGGAAACCCTCTCTATATAGATATGCAATAGATTCGATTCTGGACATATCTCCACTACATCTGCGCTTAATTGAATACGCTAACACTTTGCAGATACGAGGGGGACGCTGGAAGGGATAAGGAGAAGAATAAGCATTTAAATTTGTATTGTTGTTGATGGTGTTGTTGTTGTTGTTGCGAAAGTTGGCTGTAAAATGGTGGCCATCTTGGGACTCTGGGAGGAGAAGAATAAGCATTCAAATTTGTGTTGTTGGTATTCCGAAAGTCGAATTTGAAAGTTACGAAATTGACTGTAATGTGGTGGTCATCTTGGGACTCTGGGAGGGAGAAGGCGAAGAATAAGCATTCAAAGTTGTGTTGGTATTGTTGTTGTTGTTGTTGTTGCGAGAATTGGCTGTAACACGGCGGACATCTTGTTATTTTAGAGATGGAAGGCTGCAGGAAGGAGACCAGATCCTGGCCATAGATGGACAGCCCCTAGATGCGGCCATCTCGCATCAGCAGGCCATAGCAATCCTTCAGCAGGCCCACGGACTCGTCGAGCTTGTCGTTGCCCGGGACAACCCGCGAGCCGACCAATCGCCATCCACCTCCATCCAACGTTCGGCAACGCCATCTAGCGACGCCGAACAGGACCTCAGTATGTGGGTAAGTCTCCGTAACGCCCGTCTTGTATTGTTATTGTTATCGTATTGTTACTGTTGACACTTTCGGTGTAGTGGGTGTTTTATATGTATGGTATATGGGTTGTATTGTATATATATGGTTAGGTTGTATTGTATATGTATGTGATGGGATATGTTGTATGCGTCTGTTCGTGCGCGCGAGTATGTGTAAGCTTTGTCATATGAGTGTAACTATACAGTTTCTACGAACCTATAACACTATATATTATACACACGCCTGTGAAACCCAACAATTGTCCCTGGTATATAGCTTTCCATGCTTGTCTGTATTGCACAATTCTGACATAATGTTCATTTTGTGAAGCGATAACCCCGTAGAGAAATTGTTCAACATGAAAAGGCTAAATGAATTTTTATTTCCCCAAAGGTGTTTGAATGTTTGGTAAAGTATCAGTCGTTAGTGAAATGTGTTTGTGCGTGTGTGTGCGTGCGTGCGTGCGTGTGTGTGTGTGTGTGTGTGAGTGTGTGTGTGCGCGCGCTTGTGT